TGGTGTTATTTAGGTTACATGAAAAAGGTTAGATTGTTAGATGGCAGTATTAAGAAATTTAAAGCTTGCAGAATTTTTATCAAGACACCATTTTTCACTGGTTACTGTAATGCTGTAGCAATACCTAGTTTGACACAAGATATTTTATTGGGTAACATTAGAGGAATTAGGTCTTGTACTATGAGGGACATTGACAGATGGCAAAACAAATATGAACATTTATTGAACAGAAATACTAGACAATACAGTAGACCTATGAATAACTCATACAATAGAAGAAACATGACTTGTTATAATTCTCATAAGCAAGGACATTTTGCTAGAGAATGTTGGAGTAGGTCTCATACCAATCAGAAGATAGCGAGTTCTAGTTGTAGATTTGGTGGAAGAATTAACCAAAGTAGAAACAAATCTAATGATCATAGATCAAATGGGTACAGAACTTATGATAAACAAAATGACAGGACAAGATATGATGTAAAATAAATAAGTATTCTGAATATGGAATCGTGATCAAGTTTAAACTTGTCTATTAAAGTTTATTTATGTATTGATAAATAATATGAGACAAATGAATTTTAAATTGAAGTATAATGTTGATTGATCAAGTATAGGACTATAATGATAATGAGTAGATTCTATGATGTGACATTCCATAGTAATGATATGTTTGAAACTTTTAAGGTTATAAAACTAAGGTGGAAGTACCTCTTGTACTTTATTGACATATGGATATTGATTATTGATTAATAATTTTAAATTGGTTATAATTATGCTGTCTAGATTGACATACACTTACATGAGGAAGTGATACTTGTAAATACTATGTATATACTACATTGATGTTTGATATTAGATTTTTGTATGGTAATATTAATTAGCATGGCACAATTTGAATGTTAGTTGAAAAGGGAAATAAGTAAATTTGATCGTTAGGCATATGAAAGTAAGTATATATATTTTTTGTGAATCATTTCATATATCATTGGAAAAGGTTATATCGATGGAAAAGGGTGAGTGGAAAAGAAAAATGGACAAAAGCTTATAAAAGGGTGGTAAGGAAAAACTTATTGAATGTGGAGATAAAGTTTATAATTTCTTTTTGAAATATTATATTTTGTCAGATTACTGCCAGAGGAGAACATTTGTGAGAGTAGATACTGTATGACGTGCCCATGAGATGACACATTTCCATGATGAACTGTTTATTAAATGAAGATGACTTTGGAAGTCTACACAGTGTAATAATATGAACATTGGCATGAACATCATGAACTGTCAAGCCAAGGTGAAGATTTTAGGATGCCTTATTATATGTTTGTTGTCTTTCCTCATAAAATGCAAATGCCCTTGTAAGACTTGACAGTAGTAGAAAAATATTGACATTTTGTTTTTCAGGGGAGGGGGGAGGAATCTGTTTGACACCTAGTTTATAGTATTAGTTATTTAGCGACGCACTATAGAAGACGTATATTGAACGGAACTAATGACGTTTGGGATATGTTGGGTTAGAGACCGGAAAATCAGTTAGCGATAGAATCCTCTAGGGTAAAGACGTTTTTATTTTGACACAGACTTTTACTGTGGCCTTTAAAATGAATAAATAGAGTATGAACTGTTCCTCAGTGTTGACCACATCTCTTGACTCGTTACATCCATCGTCTTGTTTATTCTGTATTGTTGATCAACTACATTGAATACACCCCAACAATAAAACTCAAACGCTTGCAGAGTAATTAATTGAAATTCAAGTCATCTATAGTTGACCTCAAGACAGTCTGAACAAGTACATCACAATACCAAATAAAATAAAAAATAAAGTAACTAAGCCCTAATTTACAGATGCAGTATAAACCCATAATGAAATACTAAGTAAAACACTAAGATGGAGGTACATTTCTTATCCCCTATGCTAGAACAAATGCGTACAAATGTTCCTTCTTCCCTAGTGCCATCAGAGCTGGGGTGCTCAACATGGGGGGTCAAATGACCATTTGCCAGGGGTCGCCTAAGACCATCGGAAATTTCAGTTTCTCGTCTATTTTGTAATTGGAAGTTTTTTTGTTTTTTTTTTGGTCATGCGATTTCTGAAGTGTTGTAACAAGCACATGTTTAACCTTTTTTTTTTTTGTAATTTAAGCACAAATTTATTTTACACTAAGTAAAATTAGATAATGCTTTGCTATGTAAATACATCGTGGATGTCAGATATATATACATTTAAAATTTGATTGTGATCTTATAACATTAGCAAAATCATATTTAGGCTCTACCTACGCCTATGAACGAAATAAATTTTACGGTTGGGGGGTCGCCGAGCTAAATAGGTTAAGAATCGCTGCATTAGAGAATGTAATGTGTTCCCTCAATCAGCCAGCAAAATCAACGACTTGGCAGAGCGTTAAAGTCTTTAATTAATTAACGTGACTAACTAGATTGACACATTTTGAAGTAATGTCACTATTACATAAGATAAAACTGTTGTCGTTCAGGGCTAAACTTTACTTTGAGAAGAGATGAAATACATGTAAATATACCAAGGAAGGAAATGAAAAGTATGAATATTGAATTAATTTTATTAAAATGCATAGAAATCCTACAAAAGAGTACCTATTTTTTTATGGTACCATAGACGTCTCATTGTGGTTAGCTACAAATTGTAATCAACTAATTTATTTTATTTAATTATTAATTTTGGTTTAAATTATTTTCACAACGCAATAAAAAAAAAACAGGAAATAAAATGGCTTGCTTAATAGTATATCACTTACCTAGCACCAATGTATCCAAGAATTGTGAGACTAAGGAGCGATTCTACTAAGCAGGCACTTCTGGTCTCACATATATGTTAATAACTTGGTTGTATTCATACGCTGCTATAAATTAATCGATCTCATATAGAGTATACGATACTAACTCTATTTTTTAAATAAAGTAATTGTCGGTGGACTTCTCCCCGGTGCATATATTGCGTTCGCTCGATAAGAATAAAAGACGTTATAAAAATATTACAAGCTTCCTTTTTCTAGAATCTACTTCCTGGTTGTACTTAACTCTTTCTCTCCTAACTGACGATTAACAGGGTTGATTCCACCATAATCTGGTAAATAAGTACGAAGAGAAAGAGTTAATTAACCTTGGATCGCTCATAAATCTAAAGTATAGTAGCCAAACCTATTGGTTTGTTGAAGCTAAAGACTAATCCTTTAATACAGTCACTGGGTATTCATACACCGAACTATATAGAATAGACCTGTAGTTATCTAGGCTTACAGCAACCGTAACAAATGGTGGAAACCAGTGGCGTGTTGAGGGTTCCAGGCTGGCGCACAGAGCAGTAAGTCTCTTAACCACCACCTCCCGATAGTGTACGTCAATGTTTCTCAAACGTTTACTGGTGGTGCCCTTTTAGACGAAAATAAAATCGTTCGCCACTTCCTCAACCTTAGCTAACTGAAGGTCTGGATGAGTGCTGAAAGCTGGCTACCACTGTGTGGGTCCGAGGAATTTAAAAAATGTAATAATAAAAAACAAACATTCAGTTGTGGCACAATCTCACAGATTTTTACTACAAGGCAAAAGACAGAGGAATATGAGAAATAGACGATCGACGGATCATATCTGCTGCCTCCTACGGTCAAACAGATTTAGGAATAGGTGAAAGTAATATATTTATAATCTATCTTCTACAAGAGGTTCTTTCAAGACACAGTAGTGAGAGAGATCATTTTCCCTCTGGCCATAAAGGGTGTCTGGAGATTGCTTTAAACTCCTCCAGCGGGTCCTGGGCGGAGCCCCTGCACCAAGTGTTATCAAACGTTTTGGGAATTCATTCTACTGGCGTTTACATCTGACTTAAATCATAGCACAAAGTCATCAGGGAAACTTTCAATCTAATAACTTGTCATTCAGATGGTGCACAAAGGCATCAGGGAAACTTTCAAATACCTTGTCCTTCAGATGAGGCACAAAGGCATCAGAGAAATTTTCAAATACCTCTTCCTTCAGATGGGGCACAAAGGCATCAGGGAAATTTTCAAATACCTCTTACTTCAGATGGTGCACAAAGGCATCAGGGAAATTTCCAAATACCTCTTCCTTCAGATGGGGCACAAAGGCAACTGGGAAACTTTCAAATACCTCGTCCTTCAGATGGGGCACAAAGGCATCAGGGAAATTTCCAAATACCTCTTCCTTCAGATGGTGCACAAAGGCATCAGGGAAATTTCCAAATACCTCTTCCTTCAGATGGGGCACAAAGGCATCTGGGAAACTTTCAAATACCTCGTCCTTCAGATGGGGCACAAAGGCATCTGGGAAACTTTCAAATACCTTGTCCTTCAGATGAGGCACAAAGGCATCAGAGAAATTTTCAAATACCTCTTCCTTCAGATGGGGCACAAAGGCATCAGGGAAATTTTCAAATACCTCTTACTTCAGATGGTGCACAAAGGCATCAGGGAAATTTCCAAATACCTCTTCCTTCAGATGGGGCACAAAGGCATCTGGGAAACTTTCAAATACCTCGTCCTTCAGATGGGGCACAAAGGCATCTGGGAAACTTTCAAATACCTCGTCCTTCAGATGGGGCACATAGGCGATTGGTTCAAAGTCACTTATAGATCCAGGAAAAATAGCAATAATGCCATTTATTTATTTTAAAAAAAGCAGTTACTCATCTAAGCGTAATATGCTTTGCATTGATATTCTGTGAGGCGAGGTGGCCGAATGGTAAAGCGCTTGGCTTTCGAACTGAAGGTTCCGGGTTTGAGTCCTGGTAAAAAAACTGGGATTTTGATTTATGTCCTTCTAGGACGCCTCTGAGTCCCATCTCTAAATGAATAACTGACATTAGTTGAGGAAAAGTAAAGGCGGTTAGTCAATGTGATGGCCACATGACACCCTCGTTAACCTTAAGCCACAGAAACCTTTACATCATCTGCCACATAAATTGCATGTTCTGAAGGGAGACCTTTACTTTTTTTTAAATTAACTTTCTACTGCATTGTAAAATTATAATGTAACCAGATATTGGAGGAATGAAGAGTGAGATATGTTGATCATAGGACTTTAAAAACACAAACTCATCTCACAAGTTTCAAAGCGATGGTGCTTTTTTTTTTTTTTATTAATTCATCTTTTGTTAGATACTACAAATAATTGTGTAAAATTGTGTATAAAAATTGTACCAGAAAAAAAAAGGCTTTCGTTAAAAAGATAGCGAGAACAAATAAAGTTATATATAGTAATATAATATAAAATTCAAGCAAAAAAATTATATTTTATAACAAAATAAGCAGAAGCAAAACAGCAGTTGTTTAACATATAGAATAACATATTGAAAAGCATATTGAGTAACATTGAATAACATATTGTTATGAACCTCATGTGATTTGAAATAGAACACTGTTTCACTTGTTTAGTCAAGATTTAACTTCTTCAGTATCTTCTATGTATATAATTCTCTACGTGCGGGACGTCGACTCTCTAACCCTCGATGAAAAGTAATGGAAAGATAACTTTTATTTCTGCAAGTTGGACTAATGTTACCTCACACAAATTTCGCGGCGACAGAGAGCGCGGCTCAGAAAAAAAGGAAGAGAAAAACAGGTCTACGTCGCCCAACCATGCGGAACACCACGCACGCACGCTGAATCTCTAGCCCTCATCCTGCCCACTCCCTCTTGCACCAGTGCCTTCCTCGCCCTCCAGGCATCCGCACACAGTCTTTTGCTCAGACCCACCCCATTTGGAGAAGAGTGTCTCTAAGGAAGTGTTCACAGTCACCAAATAGCGGCTTATGCTACGCCGCGGGTAGGCTAGTTCTTAATAAGCCATGACATATTTATAGAATGCTTCAAAGGTCGTGTGGTATGCTTTCTAGATTGTCATGACAATAGTTGCAAATTCAAAACCTGTCCTCTACCTCCTCTCCCCCCCCCCCCCCAAACATCCAGCGGAATGTTCGGACTATGGTCTAATTTAATTCAATTCTAAACGAACGTAGGAAACACGAAAACAAACTATCCAATGTGTAGTAGCACCCCTTGACAGAGAAACAGGTACGGTATTTTCTTCTGATGGTATTTTGTGAGAATAATCTCTCCCTCTCTTTTTCTCTCCTTCTCTCTCGCTCTCTTTCTCTGTGTGTGTGTGTGTGTGCGTTAATAGCAAGCAACAAAAATACACTTTTAACCAAAAAAAATGTATTTCTAACTTTTGAAAATACAACACTGTCAACACATATTCACGTAGGGGGGAAAAAAAAGAAGGGGGTTTTTGAACAAATTGTAGTCCATGTTTATGAATAAATTTGTAAGTGTGTGTTTAAACATTAAGATTGGTTGATAATATGTATTGGCAGCAAACAGAGAGTCTCCGAAACAACTTGCACTCTACCTTGGCTATCGAACTTAACAAAGTCTGATTTCATTGAGAAGCACATAGAGATGACTTGAGATGTGACGTAGATCTACTTCTGCTCCATGTTCCTAGTCCAGGCTTTAAGTCATTGTATTCATAAATCGAAGTTGGCAGCTATTCTTTAATCTACCCAATCAATGCACGCGTAAATAGATCAAACAATAATTAGAGCAATCAACCTAGTGAAATTATATCATTTTATATTATTGACAACCAGTCCAATAGTTATATGCTACTCGAGCTCAATCGTTTAGAAAACAAAAAACAACAAAAATGTTATTACACATGGAAGAAGAGGTTGAACTTAACGTTCTTAGTAGGTGCTTATATTTGTTTTGACATATACCTTGTTTAAACGCATAGGCACAGATTACAAATTAGAATAGCCAATCATAATCAGGGGCGTTAAGAATGATCGTGCCGCCATTAGCCAGAAGACAAATTGCGTTACTACAGTTTCTGTCATTGAGTCGACCCAGACAATATCGGCTGCTCTAAGAGCAATCGATGCAATGGGAACTACCATCAAACCGAAGATGATCGATATTAGAAGTAACTTTTGACCCTCTACGCGTTGATTCATGGGGGTCACGTGTATCGTGCTGACTCCCTGGTTTAAGTTGATGTTCACCGTTGAGGACTGGTTCATAACCTGTTGGTTTGCTGGATATGGATAATGGGGTGGATAGGGTGCCGCATTCTGTGGATATGGATTTGAGTTCAGTGGATTATAATTAAAATTTTCTTGCTGTGCAACAGTCTGTTGAGACACAATTATGGGCTGCAGGTCGGTGCCTATAATCTGTCTCTGTTGCAAGGTAGGACCATGGACACAGTTGAGAACAATACTGATTACTATTGAGAGTGAGACGGGTAGAAAAATAGATACCCCAATCATGGATTCCAATGACTGGCTGTTGGTGCAGTCAGACTCATAATTAACCTTTGACATGCAAAGCGGAAGTATTATAATTAGTCCTAAGATCCAAGGGACGCTACTTGCACCAACTGCAGAAATTATTTTATAGTTGTTGTCGTGAATACTTTGAATCCTGTTTCTAAGGAAGACTTCAGCTGCCAGTACCACAAGACCTAGTCCGTAGACGAAATGAATCAAGAATGACATGTACGTTGTGGTATTAGTGCTTAATCTGCAGGTCATGAAGGTTATATCTGCCTCAAAAAATCTTCTAGCAAGCACTACTAACGGGAATAGGGCAAAGATGATGTCTCCTATAGCCAAGGATATAATCATCATTAACTTGACTCTTTGATAAAACATTGGTTTTCTGACTTGGGTGACGATGAGTGCCCCGTTGATCAAACATATTAGAAGAATGAAGATCACAATCAGCGCTTTGTCAGCAATTAATAGTTGAGCCATATCAGGTTCCATCTTGAGAATATCTAGGTGTTCTTCCTATCTGAAATAAAACAATAAAATATAAGTTAGTCAAATGTACGGAATTTATGCATGTACATATATACCAATAATGAATATATAAGTTTAAATATTTTTAACTTAAACATACATTCATATATCGCCATGACGGTACCAGTAGCAACCTCTAAGTACACTTATTTTTAAAAGTGTAACAAAATCCAATTGGATACCTTACGATGGGGTTTGTGTTCAAGATGGATTCACCCCCTCCCCCAAAATCAAATCAAAGGCCTAGATCTAAAGTTAGATGTAACATCTGCAAAAAAATATGCAACATGAAACAGAAAGCCATTCAATGTGACACCTGTGATGAATGGTACCACGCATCATGTCTCCATATGAATACATCTGCGTATTATGCCTTAGGCAACAAAGACACATCGTGGCACTGTCTACAGTGCGGGTTACCTTAGTTTACATCAGGACTGTTTGATTCCTTTAAGGCAGACACTTCTGACCCATACAACATCCTAAACACCATCCCAAACCAAACTCACCAACCACTAGTCAGATCCACTCCTGTTAAATCTGCTAAAAATAATACAACAGCCTCATTAAACAAACCTACTAAAGAAGTAATACCAAAATACCTTAAAACCTTATAAATAAATTTTCAAAGGAACATTAGGAACAAAACTGCAGACTTAGAAATTTTATTGGAATGTGAGAAACCAGACATAATTGCAGGAACAAAAACTTGACTACATCCTGAAATTTGTAATGCAGAAATTTTTAATAGTAATTATGAAATATTTAGAATTGATAAGGATGATAATCATGGAGGAGTTCTTTTAGCAATAAAAAACACTCTTATTGCAGAAGAAATTACCTTACCTAACTCAAAAAATATAGAATCAACATTTTGTAAAATTAATACCAATTAAACATCCGTAATAATAGGCAGTATTTACAGACCATCAAATTCTAGTTTAGAATACATACAAGAACTATGTAATAGGTTTACTACACTTAAAGAGACAAATAGAAATGTTTTTTAGATTATGGGTGATTTTAAAATACCAGATATATATTGGAAAACACTAACCATAGATAAACACCAAAACCTTAAGGACATAAATGAGCTTTTCATAGAAACTTTAGACAACCTAAGTTTAGATCAAATCATTAAAAAGCCAACTAGATTAAACAACACATAAGACCTCTTTTAACCAACACACCTGGATTAGTAGTAGATTATGATATTATCCCTGGTCTATCAGACCAATGGATCATAAAAATACAGTCAAATAGAAGCAGTAGCCAATATAAAACCCAAAAGAAAAATCTTACTTTGGAACAAATGCAACCTAACACAACTACACCAAGCTGCATTAAACTTCCAACAAACATTCTTATCAGAAAAAGACATTAACCAACCAGTCGATGACCTCTGGAATTTCATAAAAAACTATCTTAAAAACATTATAGAAAATCATATACCAACTAAATACATATTGAACAAAATAAAGAAATTGAAAATTTAAAGAAACTAAGGCAAAAAGAGTCTATACAAAAATACTTAAAAATTAAACACCTAACCCTCAAAGTAAGCAGACAGCTGCAGAGTAAATACATAAACAATGTAATATCTAATCATAACAAAAACCTATGGTCATACATTAAGTCTAAGAAAATGGAAACAAAAGGCGTAGAGCCATTAAAACATGAACATATAATACATAATGATAATGAAACTAAAGTAATCATCCTGAACAAATACTTTGCATCAACATTCCCAGCCCCAGGAGACAAAGACATATTACTTAATTTGAACCAAGTAGACAACATAGGAGATATAGAAGTACAAGAAAATGGAATCCAAAAACTATTAGCCAACACCAAACCAAATAAAGCGTATGAACCTGATGGTATTCCAGCTAGATTACTCAAAGAACTAAGCCATTGGCTAGCACCAGTGTTCAAAATAGTTTTTCAGGCATCTCTTAACCAGGGCAGAGTACCAAGGGACTGGAAAGAAGCTAATGTCACCCCTGTATTTAAAAAAGGAGAAAAATCTGACTCAGGAAACTACAGACCATTCATCAGCATCACATGTAAAATCCTAGAAAGCATAATATGTAGAAACATCATAAACCACTTAGACAAACATAATGTCCTTACTCCTTGCAAACATGGCTTTAGGAAAAATAGATCATGTGAAACACAACTAATAGGACTAATTGATGATTTTTTAAAAGGTTTAGATAACAGTGAGCAAATAGATGCTATCTTACTAGATTTTTCCAAAACTTTTGACAAAGTTCACCACCATAGTTTACTTTAAAAATTCAAATATTGTGGCGTTGATGGTCCATTGCATCAGTGGATTAAAATTTTCTGATAAGGAGAGAACAAACTGTAATAATAAATAGCTCTAAATCAACATCAATAACAGTAAACTCAGGCGTACCTCAAGGAACAGTCTTAGGTCCACTACTATTTTTAATTTACATAAATGAGTTACCAAGTTGCATTAGTTCAGGAACAAAAGTCAGATTATTCGCAGACGATTGCAAAATATATAGAATAATAAAAACAACACAAGATACAGACATTTTTCAACTCAAGAAAACATTAAGAAACTGGAACAGACACAGTAAATAGAGCTGTGAGATTTATAACAAATGAATATTCACATTTGACTAGAGCAACACCTTAAGTAAAATCACTAAATTTAGAAAGCCTTCAAAACAGAAGACTCAAAAGTCAAGTAACAATTATACATAAAACACTGAACCATAATCTTGAAATACAAAACAAAATTTAATAAAACTAGTCGGCCGACGGCCTAGCTACTTTACATGCCGGTCTTAGGCCACTGCAACCTTTTCAGAAAGACAATGATAAAGACACATTCCTCATCCCATATGCTAGGACAAACTTGTACAAATACTCCTTCTTCCCTAGTGCTATTAGAGCATGGAATGGGTTGCCTGAGCTAGCCAGGAAAACCAGTGACTTTGCAGAATTTAAGTCATTGGTTGATATGCATGACTGAATGTATGACGCGTAGGACGTAATCATATTCTTTTTTGAAGTAACGTCTGTATTATACAAGATAAGATAAATTGTCATCCCCAT